TTACACACAAAACTGCTTCATTGATTTTTCCGTCTCATAGGTGGCGTCATTTGGTAATGACACATTACTAAACTATTAAAAACATTTTTAAAAAGTTATGACTAGAAGAACGCAACTGTTTAAGGACTCTCCCTTCTGAGAGAAAATACTTTCATTTTGGCATTCCTGTTATTAATAGTAAACAGAACCACATATGCACTAAAGAGCCTGAGTGGTTTTAGTAGCCTTCTGTTTCTCAGAGTCCACATGAAGAGATGACCTGAAGGATAAAACATCAATTAAACCACCTTTAAATTAAAAACAATAAACTACAGCAATGTTTCAGGAGTCCTTAGTCTAACCCTTTAGTGGAATTTGGCAGTTTTAAATTTCCTTTTCCTGCTTAGTGTGCCATCAGCTTCTGTTTACGCATCTCTATGACAACAGATACAAGAAGATCTGACTGTTTAATTAATCAGAAAATTACATGTGAAACCAGCCGTGAAAGAAAGTAATGCAAGTGTTTTTGGCATTTACATAATCATATTTAGTTTATTTAACAGAATAGTTTCATGTTAGCAGGGTAAGACATAAAACATTTGTGTTAAAGTAAGGAGCAATCATTAAAAAATGGAAGAAGCTAAACATGACTGTCAATCTCACTTGGACTGGGCAATCTCCCTCAGATTATCAATCACCCTCTAAGATTGACAGTCATGTCTCACTTTGTGGAGTGGGCCAAAATCCCTCCTGCAGGGTGTGCAAATCTGGTGAAAAACTACAGGAAAACTTTGACCACTGTAATTGCAAACAAAGGCTACTGTACCAAATATTAACAAGGAGGGCAGGGCAGGGCAGGGCAGGGCAGGGCAGGGCAGGGCAGGGCAGGGCAGGGCAAGGCAAGGCAAGGCAAGGTAAGGAAAGGAAAGGAGGAGGAATAGGTAAGGTATGGTAGGCTAAGGTAAGGTAAGGTAGAGTAGGGTAGCGTAGGGTAAGGTAAGGTAAGGTAAGGTAAGGTAAGATAGAAGACCATCCCTACCGTGGAGCATGGATGTTTGTTAGGGTTTATTATTTTGTGCATTGTTATTTTGTTAGTCAGATTAGACAGAGCAGAAGGCCTTCCTTCACATTGTGGATATCACGGTGTGTGCGGAGGTCATCTAATCAAGACAGCCTTTGTGTCTCTAAGAGTACAAAGGATATGGGCACATCTTGGAGCCGGTCTGATAGGAGAGCTGCTGTATCTGTAACCCTGAGACAGANTTACACACAAAACTGCTTCATTGATTTTTCCGTCTCATAGGTGGCGTCATTTGGTAATGACACATTACTAAACTATTAAAAACATTTTTAAAAAGGTATGACTAGAAGAACGCAACTGTTTAAAGACTCTCCCTTCTAAAAGAAAATACTTTCATTTTGGCATTCCTGCTATTAATAGCCTCGAGTAAACAGAACCACATATGCACGAAACAGCCTGAGTGGTTTTAGTAGCCTTCTGTTTCTCAAAGTCCACATGGAGAGATGACCTGAAGGATAAAACATCAATTAAACCACCTTTAAATTAAAACCAAACTGCAGCAATGTTTCAGGAGTCCTTAATCTAATTCTTTTGTGGAATTTGCAGTTTTAACTTTCCTTTTCCTGCCAAGTGTTCCATCAGCTTCTGTTTACGCATCTCTATGACAACAGATACAAGAAGATCTGAATGTTTAATTAATCAGAAAGTTACATGTGAAACCAGCCGTGAAAGAAAGTAATGCAAGTGTTTTTGGCATTTACATAATCATACTTAGTTTATTTGACAGAATTGTTTCATGTTAGCAGCATAGGACATAAAACATTTTTGTTAAAATAAGGAGTAATCATTAAAAAATGGAAGAAGCTAAACATGACTGTCAATCTCACTTGGACTGGTCAATCTCCCTCAGATTGTCAATCACCCTCTAATATTGACAGTCATGTCTCACCTTGTGGAGTGGGCCAAAATCCGTCCTGCAGGGTGTGCAAATCTGGTGAAAAACTACAGGAAAACTTTGACCACTGTAATTACAAACAAAGGCTACTGTACCAAATATTAACAATGAGGGCAGGGCAGGGCAGGGCAGGGCAGGGCAGGGCAAGGCAAGGTAAGGTAAGGAAAGGAGGAGGAAAAGGTAAGGTATGGTAGGCTAAGGTAAGGTAAGGTAGAAGACCATCCCTACCGTGGAGCATGGATGTTGCAGCATCATATTATAGGGGTGTTTTTCAGCAGCCGGCTCTGGTTAACTAGTCAGGATGGAGGTTTAGATGAATGTAGCATTGCTACCCTGCTACTTTTTAAAGTTGTTTTTTCTCTCTTAGCATACTGTAGATGGCTTCCTTCACGCCCCTCTCAAACCACCTATTTTCTTTATCCAGAATGTGAGCATTCTGGTCCTCCATAGAATGTCCTTTGTCCACAAGGTGTAGATGTACTGCAGAGTCTTGTCCAGAGGAGGCCACTCTTCTGTGTTGGGCCATGCGTTTGTGGAGAGGTTGTTTAGTTTCTCGTATATAAAGATCAGAGCATATACCACTCCGCTCATATTCGGTCAGAGGGTTTTATCTTTAGGATGTACTAGCCTCTTTTTAAGGGTTTGGTTTGGTTTGAAATGTACTGAGATTTTGTGTTTGGAGAAAACCCTTTTGAGTTCTTCAGAGACTTCAGAGACAAGAGGATTTCCAGGTTGCACCTCAGCACATTGAAATTGATTCTTTGATTATTGTAGTTTTTTTTTTTTCTCACTAAACGGGGAGAGGGTCACCAACAATTTTGTCCACATGTGTAGGTGATGAGGCCTCAATAAGGCACCATGCTTTTAAGGGACAGCCAAATGCTGTTGATTCTCCCATCACATAAACTAGTGTAGAGATTAATAGCAGCACATTCATATCACAATCATCCACTTCATTAGTTTCAATTTTTTCTACGATCTAGCCATTGCATCATAACTCAAGATCATACTGAGACCATAAAAAAAAATGAATGGCACAAAACAAACAACACTGAGTTTATTCATTTTATTTACACCTTTATACAAGAAAATAAAACATCTTATAATCAAAATCATAAATGATTGTCCACTAGATGGCACCATAGAGCAAATGAAACATCTTGATGCCTGGACTGAGTTGGTTTCAAGTCTTCATCTGATCTGTATACATGCCCACTCACTGATTATCAGTTTGTAGATACATGTGATGCTAATTAGTGACACACCTGGATTTATCATGTTCTTTTGGCCACATTGTCATCAGTCTTTACATTTTTTTTTTCTCCAGGCCTATTAAAGGCTCTATTAAAGCATGGTCAAAAAGCAGTGTCTGACTTTTTATTTGTGATATTTTTATGGATAATTTCTTCATTATTACGTATGTCAGATTCTATTATTTTCTGTTATGATTGTGGGTTTGTCTTTCATTAAACGAGGGACGCAAACAATTTTTCCATGTGTGTAAGTAAATGTGAAGGGGATGCAAAGGCCTTCCTTTGGCTTTATAGATTTGATCTGAGCTTGTAGTGAGAGTGCTGACAGCAAAATCTCTCTTCTGAATCATAAATAAACAGACTAATCTGATATATTTTGTAATTTCTTTCATAAATTGCTGTACATGAAAATGAACAGATCCTGTCCCTTACATCAACTTTCCAAATCTTTTCCATGCCGGCAATTTTGTTTACGATCCGATATTTTGTACAATACAGTCTGGTATTGGCAATCCCGATACAATTAAATAATGTAACTGCTCTACGATGGTTTTCAAACTGTCCTTATTTTATAAACTTTTATTTTAAAGTTCACCAAAGCTGTTATATTCAGCTGCTTTTTATGATCAATATAACTTTTAATGATTCATTCGTTAGTGAATATTATTTAAACAGAGCACTTCTGCCTTTTTAAAAACCTGAATAAATGCAGTTATTTGTTGAAAGCACTCATTTATTTTAATACCATATGAACAACTTCAACTGGAATAGTGCTTGATGCCATTTAAAGATCCATAAAGGCTGGATCTGTAACTGCCCTCTGTCAACCAGCAGCAGCACCTGTGCTCAGCCCCTATGTCCTTTTCATCAGCTTTTTTTTATTATTATTCTCACTACACTGTCACAAGAGCAAGGAAATGAACTCTCTGCATTTAACCCATCCCCTTGGGGGGCATTGGGTTGCCTTTTTTGGGGGCCCGGGGGGCGTTTTGGGGTTAAGGGTCTTTCACTCAGGGACCCAGAGTTTGGGTCCCTGAGCAACTGTTAAAAAAGGCTCTCCAAGAAGTTTAAGTTCAAGGTTGATTTGAATTAATGGTTTCTGAATAACACAATGGATGTAAATATGCTTCAAATGACAATGGGAGGTTTTTTTTTGTTAGCCCACAATGTTGTATTTGAACATGCGTGTGTATATTTTGCAGGGTCATTGAAAGTTGCACTGCAAAACACCATAAATATCTAATAAATCAGAGTCTAAATGAATATACGATGTTATCAGTTCTTTATTGGAAATATTTCACATGGTTATTTAAATAGATATTAGTGAGCAGTTTTTTTCAGATGATAAAAAAACAAAATGTACACGATTATATAAATATATAAATAAATATCAAAAAGCAATAAAAGCATCATATCTCTTAAGCCAACCATAAATAGACAATATCCTTCTATAGACAGTACAACAACGCCACCTTGTGTAGAAAATTAACAATGTCAATACATGAAGCAATTTACTTTCTGTACTTGGTACATACAGTAAATACTGGGGTTTAACACGCACACTTCCTTCCAGCAGAGTGTGGTAGTGCTACGGTATCTGAGTGAGGAGATGAGTCTCTATGGGTTTCAGATCTGACGCTGGATGCTGAAGGTTCTGTAGCGAGCAGCAGACTCCTGGCACATCTCCACAGGCTTGTGGTCCTGTGTCGCCGTGCTGATGTACCAGTTGGGGTAGAGGGCAGACATGAGAGTGCTGATGTTCAGTCCGGCGTCCCGTTTGTAGAAGAGGAAGCGCCTCATCTCGCTGTCTGAGCTGATCTCAGAGAGGCTTGTTTTGTCCTCCACTTCCTGTCAAAATCAATGAAAAAGGTCAGAGTCAGCAGGTTTTACACTACTGATATGACAAGGTGATTAGGTGCCCAAAGGTGAGCACCTCATTACAGGGCATATTGGTGGAAGAACTTTACCTCCAGATGCAGGGTTGGTTTGTCACCATCCTGGTGGCAGGACAGGTAGAAGTCTGTGTCTTTGATGCCCAGAACCACGGGTAGACCCGCAGCAGTGTTGGGTGTAAGGTGGACATAAGTCGCCATGTTCAGGTACACTGAGGACAGAGTGGATGATAAAGGGTTAATGGAAAAAAGCAAATCCTTTATGGAAATTTTCTCAAAACTACACAACAGCTGAAGACAATAGTATATCAGTTTTGTTGTATTTCAACTCTTTATATGAAGGAAAACCTTTATGTAGACTTAGATTTAAACCAGTGATGTGCATGATGTGCAGGGGAGGAGGTAGGTAAGCTAAAACAACCTTTAATCTAATTTTTGCACTTGTTTACCTTTGCGGCTGTCGCTTCCTCCCTGCAGCATGACTGCGAGGAGCTCCAAGTTGTTTCGGACCAGAACCAGGCTTCTTTTCTGGCTGTCGGTCACAGTGCAAGGGTGTTCGTCTCCACGGCTGAACTGACCTGGTCCAGCTGAAGTCCTCTCACAGATTAATCTCTCTATGAAAAACAAAAAAACAAAACAGAGCCTAGTTAGTGGTGTTGTTTTTAGGGCTTAAACAATTTATGGGATTAATCATGATTAATCTTATCAAAATAATCTTCAACTAATTTAGTAATCGATTAATTGTTAGCTTGATAATAGTGACCCCAAAGCATGCATTCACTGAAAGAGCAACCCACTTAATGCAGTAATTATACCGAAATTGTAAAAAATATATGAACATTTTGCATTTAAGGTTGATCCTCATTAATATCCTGAAGTCCTCAAAGAGCACAGTTTTAACTTTACTTTAAATTCTGTGTAAAATCTTCTTTAAGGAGCATTTGGTCATCCAATTATAAATCAATTATTGCAGTCTACTTGTTTTATTTTCTCTAATAAAGTTAGACTCTGGTTGTTGGAACTGTCTTTAGAAAAGTGCAATTTCTCAACATGAATGGGAGTTAAAGCCTGATATAATCTTTACCTTCCACAACGCTTTCCAGCATGATGCTGAGCAGGTGTTCGTCACTGAAGTCGGTGCTCATGATTTTCTCTGACATGCCAGCCTTCAGCCTCTCCATGGCGATGATCAGGTTGGCCACAGACCTCATGGATGGAGGCTGTTGGGAAATCTCCAGGTCTACTCCTTTAGGCATCTTCTTGGTCAACAGCTGGGCCAAATTGCAGCTCTTCTTGGACTCCATTTGGATTGAGATTTTTCCTTTTTTTTCTGTGGATACAAAGAAACATCTGGCTTAAATACTGGAGATTAAGGTTCAATTCAAGCATGCGACTAAGGTTGTCTTTATCAGCTATTAATTGCCGTTATAATAACAGCATCATAGCTCTACTTTTTTTCTCTGCAGCATCATTTCATGCAGTGACTAAACCAATCCCTCTAATCCAGCTTTCTAGGAAAATACGCAGAAGAGGCTGCAAGGCATCAATTAGCAAAGCTCAATATAATGAAACAGTATTGATGAGAAAAGTCTGTTTACCTGAGGAAGGTGAGCGCAGGGAAGCTTTTGGTTTGTTTGCTTTGGTATCAGTTGTCCTGATGTTCTGATTCCTCTAGCTGACCTGCCTGTCTTTTATGGGAACTAGGTGGAGGAAGGTTCAACAAAACGGAAGTGGGACGGCCTTATCCATTGCCCTTGCTGCAGCCTGGTGATGCAATATTGTACTTGCACATGAGGGGATTGTGAAATAAAGAGCAAAAAAAAAAGCAAGAGCAACAATGTGAGGAGACTTGCACTGACACGTAGGACTCGTCACACCCCGCCACCACATGCATAATCTTCAGTGGCTGGTTCTTGGTTTTTATTTATGTTTTTGAGTTTTACAGCAGGCTGGAAGTAGCAGGAGTCCTAAAATGTCCATAAACTGCTATAAATTAAAACCGAGTAAAAAATACATATATACAATTCTTTTTTTGGCAGCAAAACACACATTTTTATAAGAAATATGATGAAGATTCAGAATCACATTATGTTAGATACTGTATTTTAAATAATACAATAACGTCAAAAACAAAAACATCTACATATTTCTCCTTTTAATGCCTTAGTTTTGAGCATTTTTATCAAGTTGAAAGAAGATATTTGCTAACCAGAACATGCTCTGATGCATTTTGAACCAATATAAAGAATTTAACAAGAAATTCAACAAAAATGTAACATCTTTTGAAAAATATATTGGTTTATTTTTGGAAGAATTACCTTACCACATTTGTAGCTGAAAGTTAAACATAGGAATAATTCATTTTTTTTTATTATTCATTAGTTATCGAAAGAAAAATCACAATGAACTTCTCCAGAATCCCAGCGGTTTTATTAAGCAATTGAAATAAATGACTTAGTAGATTTCTTCTCTTCTTACTTTTTGACACATAAGCTGCCTTAAGATGATCAAAAATGAATAAATTAATTAGAAATAGAAAAAAAATAGCATTTATTTGAGTATCACATTATTATTTCATTCATTAGGGGGAAAATTGATCCAAATTGGTCTATGTGAAAGGGTTAATTGACCGTGATTAACCAAATATTTTTGTTTAATTTCACCGGCCACACCCAGACCTGATTACTACAGTACCTTACAAATCAAATAATCCCTGCTGAAGAGCCTGCCTGACAAGTTTTAATAAACTATGACATCTGAGAAAACCGGACATAAACATAAAGAAATTAAGGAACAGTTTGCAAACTGGGTCATTGACATTTGACAGTCTGGAATGGGTTAAAAAGCTTTCCCTTGGTAGCTCTTGTATAAAAAGTACTGAAACAATTTGTTAGCGGTTCATCCAGGAGGTCAAAAAGAGCTAAAGTTTAAATGAAGGCACATTCATTGCAAGAGTTCTATGCTGATAATCATTGCTGTCTAAAAGAAAGTTCTTTTAGATCATGAACGTCCCCCTCAGTCAAACATGGTGAAGGGGGTATGATGTTCTAGGGCTGCCAAGCATCTCAAGTTGGTTTAAAAAGCTTCTTTTTTTTTTTTTAACCACTTAAATGAGGCTTCATTGAGTATTTAGTTAGTTTATGTTTGTCTCAAATCTAAATTTAAATTATGCTATTAATTATTCAAGCAAGTAAGATAATTTTTCTTCTCAGGAAATGTAATATTATTCCAGCTTAAAGGTGTTTTTGCTCATTAAATATACTAAAGTACACACATTTTTACAGAAAGTTTTCTACTTTCTTACAGAAAATATTGGCTGCCTCAAGTTTTTATTTTTAGAAATGTCGCTTAAAGTTTTCCAGCTGCTTTTTATGGTTACTTTTCCAGTTTCTGTCAACTTAGTTCAACATTAACCAAGCCAGGATGGGACATCAGTGCAAAGGTATTTTTATTAGCTACTGGGAGACTCCAGGAGTTTATCCTGGAGCCACTCCTGTGTTTTTATGTTGGGATGATTCAACTGTAGTAATTCATGTCAACCTTGTTTCCTGAAGAAGAGTTTCACTCAGGGGTTAAAATTCTGCTTTAGGGATTCTTAATGACTCTTCTGCAATCACCTGGATTAAGTGTTTACTCTTACACCACTGAAAACTATTGCACTGTGTTACATAAAACCGGACTTCCTCTTTCTGTTGCCTGAGAATCAGTCAGGTATCTGTTAGCACATTAATGAACGTCAGTGTTTGGATTAAGTTCCGTTAAAATCGTAGTTTGTATTTCATCTTATCTCTTTAAGGTTCTGTGTTCTTTTATTTTTTCATGTCCAAAACTTGATCCTGATTTGTCAATTTTTAAAAAATTTTCCAGAAAAAAAAAAGAAGACTTTATTTTTTTGTTTATTTGGCTTAAAATGTTCAATTCAGATTTGTGAGCCCCGCGTCTTTCTGCCTTCTTAAAATAATTTCCTTTGATTTCATTTCTTTGTATATTTTTTCTTTAATTAAAAGCACAAAAACAAATCATTATTAAAAAAAAACCTCAACCATTATAAAAAAGATTTTATCAAGCTTCTTGGTTTTTCTTTCTGAAAAAAATATCTAGTCTCCACAAAACCATTTACACTATCTGACCGAGGCTACAATGCTGATCAGTTTAGCATCTATATACAACCTGAATAAGTGGCTTTTACCTAAAATCACACAGCCGGCAGGAAGTGAAGCAGCAGAGGAGCTGCCATTTGAAAAAAAATACTTGTGTTTTGTGCTGTTTTTAGCTGCTTTAGTTGTTTTAGAAAAGAAATAAGGAAAAAGTTATTATCAAGTGCCAAATTTTGTCATTAATAAATGGCAAAAGGTGTAAAAGACTATAATAAGCAGTAGGTAGAGATCCAAACTGTTTTTTTTTTTCTTCTATCATTAGGTTATCCTAAAAAATATTAAAATACTGTTATTCTAATACGGACCGATGCAGGAGTCTTTAGACTGCCCTAGCCGCTCTGGTGGACCCTTTGGTTCACTGCAAAAACTTTCTGAAAATGAGTAAAACTTTCTTAAAATAAGTGTATTTAACCTTAATCTGAGTATGGAAAATAAGATGATCTGCAAATGGAATGAGCATTTTTACCCTTAAAATAAGATAATTTGACATTATGCACTTGAAATAAGAGACTTTTGTTGTTTTTCTCTTATTTTAAATGTAAATTGTCTTGTTCCATTGGCATAGTGTCTCACTTACCTGCTTAATTGCAGAAAAAATTACTTATTTTAAGAAAAATTTACTTACTTAGAGTTCAATGTTTTGCAGTGTTGGTAGACTGGCTTCCAAAGCTCAGCCTCTGACTTGAATATGAATATATGAACTAACCTTGGCAAAAACCAAACAATAGTTGCAGAGCCATTTGGTGCGGAGGATCTGGGCCCATCTGGTGAAAGTTATACACCTTCAGTTTCTACAGGATTTTATCCTCTGTTTGGTGAAGCAGGAAGTTTGATGGAGCAGATAATAGGTGATGTCTATGGCCCCTTAATGGTCGGCAATTCTTGAGGTTGT